TATCTTTTGATTCTGTAACCTGAGGAATTTTGTATTCTTCTTTATACCTTTCTAATTTTTCCTAGTTTCCTACAAGGAAGATGAACAGTTTTAATAATCAGAATAGATTATTAGAAGTTACTGTTACCTGTGAAGCAGTTAGATATTTGTGCTTTTTGAGATCCTTCCCTTAGCCTTTCCTATTAGTTTAGTTACTAATCTATCTAAAGCACAGTTACAAGCTATCCCAAATCACCTGTCCACCATAGGCTGTCGCTGGAAATGGTAGGTTCCTTTCAACAAATGTTTCATTTAACAAAGTAGCCATGAACTTTTCTAGTATAAGCACACATTGGGATACTCCTTTAAAGGGCAAGGAGATGCAGATAACAGGAATAAGCCCAGCAGTTACCTGTTATTTCTGGTATTTCTTTATTCGTTGGATGACTGTGCCATGTCTTTTTAATTTTAACTATACCCTATATTATGCTTTATTTAAACTGGTTCTCCAATGACTCCTTTCAAAAAGTTATTCCTACATGTAAGACAAATTCTGTCAGTGGTGATTTTTATGGACTTAGGTATTTTGTTTACTGCACATGTAAGTCCTCTGCATCATGTTATTTCTCCAACCACACATTTTTGTCATTATTTTGAGAACCATATCACTCTATATCAAAACATCTCTATTTTCCAAGGTGAACTAGGTAGAAAATCGAATTAATGCTTCTTAAGTTGGCAATGCATTTAAAAACCTCATGTTACAATGACAAGATTCAGCTTACAGGTATATGCAGTGTGTGCACATAGAAACTTAAAATTTGGTGCCTAGAAGATTCTCTGTGTTCTCATGCCTATGGAGATTTATATGTGATGAGATTTATCAATATAAGAAAAGGTACCTTGCCCTGGCCTGTTTGGCTCAGCTGTTAGAGCATCAGCTTAGGGTCCAGAGAGACCTGGGTTTGGTTCCCCCTAAGGGTGCGTACCTCGGTTACAGTTTGTCCCTGGCCCTGGTTGGTCGTGTGGGTGGCAACCAGTCAATGTGTCCCTTTTACGTTGATGTTTCTCTCTCTCTCTCTCTCTCTCTCTCTCTCTCTCTCTCTCTCTCTCTCCCTCTCTCTATCTGAACAAAAAAATGGAAAAATATCCTCAGGGAGGATTTAAAAAAAAAGTACCTCAGCATTGGTATATAAATATGACACTACCTAAATTCATTTTCTTACTTCAGTTTGTTCATATATCTCTGCTGGAAAAGGAAGTTCAAATGGTATTGTTATATTATGGAAATAATACTGACCATAGTCATAAGAACTACCAGCAACTAATTGAGTGACTTCAGGTAATTCACTTAACCTTTCTGGTTTTTATTTAAACCCAATGATCCCTTCAAGTCATTTCTAAGTTGAACATTCAGTGATTTGATGATATCTAACTTTTGGATAAATTGTGGGAGGGACTACTCTGCATAGTCCCTGTTCCTCTGGGATATAGGCTTTTTGTTTCTCACTGTTAGTCAGAGCCACGTTATCCCTAACCAACTACCTACTCTAGGAAAATCTCATAGCAAGAATCTGTTCATGATGAGGGAGCTATACTAAAACAACATCTTCGCCCTGGCCGGTTTGGCTCAGCGGTTGGAGCGTCGGCCTGCGGTACAGAGAGACCCGGGTTCAGTTCCCGCTGGGGGCACGTACCTCGGTTGCAGTTTGTCCCCAGCCCTGGTTGGTCGTGCGGGTGGCAGCCACTCGATGTGTCCCTTCACGTTGATGTTTCTCTCTCTCTCTCTTCCTCTCTCTCCCTCCCGCTCTATCTGAACAAAAAATGGAAAAATGTCCTCGGGTGAGGATAAAAAAATAAATAAATAAAACAACATCTTCAACATGGCCCAATAAGATAAGCCCAAAACATGTGTCCTCTCTGGAGGAACTTCCCAGCCTCCCTAGCTAAAGCCCTGGTCTTATCCCTTTCCCCATCCTTCTTCTGCATCCATTGACCTGAACTTTGCTTTCTGAATCTACTTCCACTTCCAGATTGACATCCAAGCTGACATCTGCCAATGGGAACAGAAAAGGATTTATAAAGGAAAGTAAGCAAAAAAAATTGAGATTCATTCCAACTTAAAAGGGATAAAAACCTACAAAAACAAAAAATTAAGGTTCTGTATGCTCCCTACCAACATAAAACACAGCTTTCCTCTAGAATCTCAACATTAAAAAAATTTTTTTTTCCTTTATTGATTTGAGAGAGAGGGGAAGTGAGAGGGAGAGAAAGATAGAAACATCAATGAGGGAGAACATCAATTGGCTGCCTCCTGCATGCCCCCACTGGGGATTGGGCCCACAACCTGGGCATGTGTCCTTACCGGGAATCTAACTGGTGACCTCTTGGTGCATGGGTTGATGCTCAACCAGTGAGTCACATTGGCCAGATTAGAATCTCAAAATTTTTAATAATCATGATCTTCTATCAACTCACATCTTTCCCAGAAGACACATTTCGTTCTCTGTTCGCTCACATCAAAAATATGTTTAATAGTACAATGATCCAACTATGGGCTGACTTCTTTGGAAACTGCCAGAATTTCCCTTTTTACCTTCCTTTTATTCCTTAGAGCAGTTGTAGATTGGCATAGAGCCAAAATAGGAGTTGAAATATGCATTATGTTATTTGTCATGTTGGCTACAAAGAGGCAGCCAGGGTACCAGAAATGAGGAATGAGGAAATTTCTGATAAATAACTCCGATGGTCATCTAGAAGCTGAATTGGATCCTAGATACCAGAGTTTGACATTGCATTTTGAATTGTACAATTAGCGGTAACTGCCTCCCACTTATATGGTAGTATCAATTTAATTAAAAATGTGAATGAAGTTTTATAGGCATTCCATTCTGTGGTAGTGACAGAGAGCATTTGTTTATCAGGTTCCGAAGGAGTTATATTTGAATCCGGAAAAAGAAATAATTAATAATAATAACAACAATAATAATAAACTCCTAGGTGTCCCTGATATGGATACTATCATGGATGTTAATAGCATTTGGAAGTAAAACGAATAAGTTTACCTTTTTACAGGCTCATTATGCATCAGTGCATACATGTCCTGTTATCAAGCAATTTAAACCTTTTCCAATATAGAATAGGACATTAACAGATGCTTTTCTCATTTGGGTATGCACTAAGTAAACTAAATAAAAATTATTTAACTCATACACTTCTCACTGGTCCTTTCTCTGTCTAATTTGGGAGTAGAAAAGTCCACAATTAATTTCAGATTCTGAGAGAAGAGACAAAGGAGGATCAGTAAGTTTCTAGAACTGAAAAATCTTTGCTGCAACCCAGACTGAACATGGTTTGTGCCCCTTCATCATGGGCATAGCTCTTGCCATCATTTAAAAAACTTGAGCAGTGTTTTAAGACTCACTGGTCTTGCCTTTACAGGCTCATAATTCCAATATCTGTTCTTGGGAGGAAAATAGAGGCTTAAAAGCTGAGTGTCCCTGCACTCCCATCTCCTAGTTCTTCATTCTTACCCAGGCAGGGAAGCCAGAGGACACTGTCTCTTAGCAAAGGAGTATTTTCGGATACTGAGGTAATGCACAAGACAACTGGTCAGAGAAGTTAAGAAGGTAAGGGAAGAAGAGGATCCAGGACCACGCCCTGTACCTGGTTACTGCTTTCCCCCTGTACTGCACATTGATAGACCTCCCTTCCCTCCAACTTTCCCTTCCTCTCCTCTCCCATTCACTGTCTCTTTTTCTGACCAAGTTGGCCTTTCCTAGTAAAATGTCAATATGTTTTCACACTTGGGAAATCTCATTCAAGGATTTTTGTCAATGGGCAAGTCATAAGAAGCCCTTCCATTTCAGGGCTGGTTGACGTCACCAAGGAGGTGATAAAATATCTGTTGATATAATTGGATGTGAGATTCAGTGTTGAGATAGCAAAAATTCTGCCCCTGGTTCCCTAGCAGGGCCCTATGATTTATGCAGGAGCAGAGGCAGCACGCAATCGAGCTGTCAAGAGAGCGTCAGCTTATTAGGCAAATGCTGCGTGATTTCTGAAGAGGGTCGACGCTATAAAATCCCACTCCAGGCTCTGGTGTGGGGAAACTCAGAGCCCAAGTCCGTTGAGAGACTGAAGAGAGAGAAGAAGAGGAAAACAAAACAAAACAAAACAAACAAACAAAAAACAGGAGTGGAAACAGAAAGGAGAAGGAAGTAAAACCCCTGAAAAAGCCCGGGAGACAATCTGCAGCAACGCTTCAGAAGGTAGGGAGCGCCTAGACGGAAACGCGCCTCCAACTTCACACTGCGCGAGCCGCCACTGAGCGCACCGAGGAGGAGCCGGAGCCTCGGCCGGTGTCCCTTCCACCGCAGGCGGGCGTGTGTGTGTGTGTGTGTGTGTGTGTGTGTGTGTGTGTGTGTGTGCGCTCTGGCTGTGCCTCAAGATCCCGATAGTAGCTAGGATGGGGCAAAAGCAAACTTAGACGGCTACTCATCATTACCGAACTCCTGGCTGGCTGTGTAGACGAGCACCCCATCGATCCTGATCCCCGAAAGAAGGGCGCCAGAGCAGAGATGGATAAGGATGAGGAGGAGGCCGTTCTAAATTTGGAGGAAAATGCTGAAACCTCCCCAAAGGGTGGGGGTTAGAGTGGCTGAGATCTTAAATTTGTAGATCCTCTCTAGAGCACGGGAAATCAGTTTTAGGATCATTAGAAAGGGAATTTAGGGACCGTCCCTTCAGGGCTCCTGGAAAAGGGTCACGCCAGCCTGGCGAGGGGCTGAGCTTTGGCGCAGAGCCCAGCAGGCATCCTTGTCCTGCTCCCCCTTTCACTCCAGTTCTAGTAGTCCTGGTTCAGGAGCTTCAGCACTGCGGACAGCGCCGGTCCGAGCCCCAGAGCCACATCTATGGGTGTCCCGTGGGAAGACACCCTCCACTACCCCAAGCTCACCTCCCACTTGAGCTCAACTCTGACCAACTCTTTCTTTCTCTTTCCTTCTCCTAGCGCCCCTAACATGAGACTGCCGCTGCTGGTGTCCGCGGGCGTCCTGCTCGTGGCTCTCCTGCCCTGCTCGCCATGCAGGGCCCTTCTCGTCCGCGGGTCTGTCCCAGGTGCCCCGCGTGCCCCACCGCTCCCCCAACCCCTGGATTTCTTCCAGCAGCCGCCGCAGCCCCAGCAGCCGCAGGCTCCGCCGGTCCTGCTCCATATGGGGGGAGAATACTTCCTCCGCCAGGGTAACCCCAAAAAGAGCCCCGCTGCTCCCCGGTGGCCTGCCTCCTCGCCTCTCGCCGGCCGCAGCGGCAGCCGCCTTTCACAGGACAGGGTAGCAGCCAACTTTTTCCGAGCGTTGAGGCAGCTGCGGTCGCTGCCCCGGAACCCGCTCGACAGCCATGCAGGTCCTGCGAGGCGCGGCGCCAAGAGCGCCCTCCGCGGCCACCAGGAGGCACCACAAATGGAGAAGCGATCCGAGGAAGCTCCCATTTCGCTGGATCTCACCTTCCACCTCCTCCGAGAAGTCTTGGAACTGGCCAGGGCAGAGCAGTTAGCGCAGCAAGCTCACAGCAACAGGAAACTGATGGAGATTGCTGGGAAGTGAAACGGTGCGTTTGACCAAAATGATTCTGATTTAGAACAAAAACAAAAATAAAAGAATACAGTATTCTGTATCATAGCGTGGCTCTGATACCATTCGTTTATTTTTATATAGCTTGAAACGTAGAGGATGTACAGCAAGAGCGCCCAAACCCCTTAATTAGCATGCACAAAGTGTGTTTATGTGCAGTAATAACCACAGAATGGTATTTGTATTGTCTACTTTTAGTTCCCATTTCCGGGTGTCTTTAATGGTGTTTAAAAGAGCACAGTCCCAGGAGGAAATGTTTTGAAGAAACAGACAAGTCACCCAATTGATTTTGTTGTGGTCTGAGCCAAAAAGACTGTTATTCTCTTGGGTGGGTGAGAGAAAACGTGTAAGCTCTTTGAATCAACTTTTCCTTGTAAATGTTTCAGTAATAAAACATCCTTGTAATCCTTGGTCAATTTGGTTGTGTAAGAGAATGTTCAATAGTTATATTTTTAATAAATGCTGCAAAAGTAATCATGACTTTTTCTTTCCTCTTCAGTGCTAGTAGTGGAAATACTCTCAGCTACTGGCTTCCACCAAACTGACTTAAACACAAGAAGAAACAAAATCTCTTGCATTTTTTCTATAAATATGAAAGTCAGTGGCTTACACAGATCACATCCTGCAATCTCCTTAGGCTCATCTCTCTACCTCAGATTACTCCTCTGAGATCAAGTTAAATAATTTGGGAGGTTGCTCCCAGCTCTAAGACTTGTTAATTCTATACATGGAAGATCAATTCATAATGGAAATACGTTTAACCCTGATTAACTACAAGATGTAAACTAATTGGGGAGGGTTGCAGAAGGAGGAAAGAAAAAGAGGAGAAGGGTTGAGGAAGGCCCCAAACTAGGGCCAGATGCTGTACTTTTTTCTACATCATCCAGCTCTTACTTTGCTACCATAGAATACTTTTTATAAGCTATTTTCCACTGCCTACTTCCAATAGGGGGAACTTGATAGCTTCTCCACTTTAAGTAACTAAATTTAGTTGCTATAAAATGACACTTGGGAAAAATTTTATAAAGAATATTTTGACTTTAATAGCTCCACAAATACCCTCCTCATTTATGTCTATGCTGACCCTAATCACTTTAATTCTTAGGAATATAAGCTATCTCTCTTTATTCACGTCTAAATTCAAACAATACATCTAATGAGTTTTACAATGCATTCACTTTTGGTAGTTTAATGACAACTTAAAAATTCAATTGAATGTTTAGTACTTCAAAATTAATTTGGATGTATGAAGATGCTTCTTCCCTTGAGACCCTTTAAATATACTTGACTAATGGATTAATAAGATAAAATGAAACACTGAACAAATCATTATAAAACTAAATTGTTAAAAACAGCATTTATTTAAGAGTTCATACAGAGTAAAGTTCTCATATTCTGAAGGAGGCGTTATGATGGGACAAATAAACATGATTTAAATATATATACATATATAATGTATTGTGTGTATATATATATGTGTGTGTATATATATGTGTATATATATATATATATATATATTTAAATACATGTAGTTGTGTCTCAGTGGATACATGAGAAAGTAGGCAGTTCCTGTTGAAAAGTTTTTTGTTTTTGTTTTTTTCAATTAAAGTGCCTGCTATCTGCATATCTAAAACTAAGGTTAGAAAAATGTCACAAGAAATGTCCTAGGCCTCCACCCTTCTGGACTATGAAAGTGTCACCAGAGTCAAAGAACATTTCTAGATATATATCCAGTGACATATATTATGGAAAAGAGGAAACCTCTGTGAAACATTTCATACCTTTGGTCAATGATTTACCTTTTGTCCACATATTGATAAATCAGTCATTTCTGAATTAATACTGAATTTCACTGACCATCTACATTGTTAAAGGAAAAAGAATAAGAGCTACTATGTATAATAACAAAAGCCAGTGCCTATCAGAGATGAGAGTTTAGTGCCCACTTTTTTCAACACTTGCCACTTGTTACTGACACACACTCACACATACCACACTTACACATCCTTCATAATGTTTCCCACACAATGAAAGATTTGCATAAGATCAAGTTTCTTTTTTTCCAGTGCTTTCTGCAACTCTTTTCCCTTATTGTGTTAGATAAATCATCTGGAATTAAAGATATTTTTTTTTGTTTTTGCAGAAATCTTCTGAGGTCCCTTTTATCATCTGCATCATTTTAATTTCATCTAGGTTCTCTGCTGCCTGTGTGCATTTCAGCCAGGCAGACGCAGAGGCAGCAGTTGGAATGAACATCATTCATTCAGGGAGTTCAACCAGGAAAAGGAGAAGACATGGCGAGCTGGCTCAGAATCAGCTCCGTTCCCACTCCCTGAGGCTGCAGCCTGGCCCTGGAGGGGGGGTTCTTCAAATCCAATCTGTAACAGAAGAAAATCTGAGTGAGAGGAAGAGGAGACTCGTCCTTTTGGGGTTGATCCAGGCACTTTTCTACTGAGGAGAAAGGATCATCATAATAATAATTATATAGGACATAATTATTATTAGGGATGGGAAGCAAGCTCAGGTTATCTTGGCCATGGTCAAGAGCCATGAAAGTAATTCACACTCATGATCCAAAAAGGGGCAACAGTAATGCATGCAGTGGGAAGTTCTTGGGAAAGAGTCCAGACTATTCTAGGATTTTTAAGGCCATTTGTACATTATTTACTAAAATGAAAGCTGCCTTGAAACTAATTGGAATTTGGATTTAGAAAAGTCTGCAGAATAAATAAAATCCCGTTTTAAATGACATTGCTACATCACATAATATCACAAGACATATTATTATTCTCTCTCCACTGCTAAAGTAAGACTTTCTACTAGGATGTGAATATGTATAGTATAATTTTTGCAAAAGTGCAGTCTTAGTTTTGAGCAAATCATGAATAAAAGAAGTTTTTTTCCCCCTTTAGGCCATAAAATCTAATAACACCAATATTTCTAAAAGATATCTGTCTTTATATAGATACCACTATAAAAGACATTTATCTTTTATGGATACCTGACAGATACAAATTACAATTTTGAAGTAATTGTTCAATCTAATCTGTAAGTGAAATTTACTATTTATGTCATTTTGAGTTTAAAATGTAACTTGGTGAGCCCTGGCCAGTTTGGTTAGAGCATCAGCCAGTGGACCAAAGAGTTGCGGGTTCAATTTCGGTCAAGGTCACGTACCTCAGTTGCAGTTTGTCCCCAGCCCTGGTCAGGGTCTTGTGGGAGGCAACCAGTTGGTGTGTCCCTCTCACATTGATGTTTATCTCTCTCTCTCTCTCTCTCTCTCTCTCTCTCTCTCTCTCTCTCTCTCTCCTCCTCCTCCTCCTCCTCCTCCTCCTCCTCCTCCTCCCTCCCACTCTATCTGAAGATAAATGAAAAAATATCCTCGGGTAAGGACTAAAATAAATAAATAAATAAAATATAACTTGGTGAAATGAGGGACAATTTTATTTATTTATTTTTCTTCATTGATTTTTAGAGAGAAAGGAAGGGAGAGGGAGGGAGAGATAGAAACACTGATGAGTGAGAACATTGATTGGCTGCCTCCTGCATGCCCTGCACTGGGGATCAAACCCACACCCTGGGCATGTGCCCTGGCCAGGAATCGGACCAGTGACCTCTTGATGCATGGGTTGACACTCAACCACTGAGCCACACTGGCCAGACATGAGGGACAATTTTAAAGAAGTCTTGTTGAAATGCAATGATGTATAAACTCGAATTCCTTACATTTAAAGGGACCATGACAAATACAAGTCTTTCCAGGAGAACTACCAAAGACAGACTAACATATTCCGATGACTTAGATTATCCCCTTGGATTAGAATGCCACTGATTTGAAAGCAATGAGGTAGGCACATGCATTCAACTTAGATGCCCTGGGTGATTTTCTGAAGCTGCTACACAAATGGACAATACCTGGCACAAGCAAATCAGAACTTTAAGAATTACGTAGTTTTGTTGCCACTCAAAATACTTTCAAATGAAAAAATGCACTTTACCAGATTTTACCCTAAGTATATGTTTTGGGGTAGTGTTTCCTGTTTAGTAAAATTATCCCAAGTCCTATGGCTTTAGGATTATCTCTCTCATGGCCACGTTGCTCCCTAATATGCTGAAATCCTATCAGCCACAGTAGAATAAAACTGAAGCATGTGGTTTTCTATGAAGGAACAGTTGAGACATCAAGGGCAGTTGGGCTTTTACAAAAAGGTTGCTACTGGATTCTTTTAGTAATAGGTTGGCCAACTCAATGTCCTTGAAGTTGAGGTGGAATGAGAATTACCTTGACAGAATCCTGTGCCTATTTATGCACATCAAATACTTCTCCTCCCCACTGTAGTCATCCTTTTCCCACAAATCCTGAGAAGAACCCCAAGTAATCTGGGCATATCACTGATGTGTAAGATATTCTTTCCTAACCATTCTATGAGTGGATAGTGAATTCTGCCCAGAGGAATAGACCATCAGGCCCATTTTGTAGCCTCTTTTCTTTGAAGATATTTCTAATCTAGAAAGACTACCATGACAGCTGTTCTAAACTATCTAATGGGTGACATTAGTTGGGTAAGGTACTTTCTCCTTAGAGATAAAGTCTTTGTGAAACTGCTGGTTGCTAACAAACTATTTGAGACTGCTTTAGGAATTTCTATATATTTTTGTGCTTTTCTATACTCAATCTATCTTTCATTTTAAACGTTTTAGTTGCTAATACCCTACAGCCTTCAAAACTCAATATTAAACAGTTTGGGTTTGCTGCTTTCACACCCTCATGTTCTCAGTCAGTTGTTAGATTTTCCTCCAAACAATATGGACCTTATTTTTAGATAAGTTATCTTTCAAAGTAAGGCCAGTGCCAGAGTGGGGGCCAAGAGCAGAGGTTATCCAGAATATCTTTAGGTGAAAACTGTTTTAAAACCCAGGGGCAAGAATGTAGAGAAAAAGAAACTCTTTTGCTGTTGGTGGGAATGTAAAATGCTGTAGCAGTGTGGAAAATAGTATGGTGGTCCCTCAAAAAAATTGAACATATAATGACCATATCAGCCAGCAATTCCATTTTTGGTTATATACTCAAAAGAAGTGAAAGCAGGGACTCACACAGATATTTGCACACCCGTGTTTATAGCAGCCCTATTCACAGTAGTTAAGAGGTGGAAGCAACCCAAGCACCCATCACTGGATGAATAAACAAAATGTGGCATATACATACAGTAGAATATTATTCAGCCTTAAAAAGAAGGGACATTCTTTTTAGACACATGCTACAACATGGGTGAACCTTGAGGACATTGTGCTAAATGAAAGAAGCCCATCAGAAAAGACAAAAACTGTATGATTCCACTTTTGATAACTTTATGAGGTATCTAAAGTAGTAAAATTCATAGAAACAGAAAGTAGAATTGTGATTGCCAGTGGCTGGGGGTAGGGGGCAATGGGGAGTTGTTTAATGGGTGTAGAGTTTCAGTTTTGCAGCGTGAAAAATCTGGGGATTGGCTGCACAACAATGTGAATATACTCAACACTGCTGAACTGTAATTTAGAAATTGTTAAGATGGTGATTTTCACGTTATGTATTTTTTTTTTACCACAATTCATTTTTTTTTTTTTTAAATTAGGACACTTTACACTAAAATCTGAATTTGTAGGTTCTCTTGACAAAATAGAAATGTAGCAACCCAGAAAGAACCTGCATGGAGGGCTGCGTAGCGCCACCCCTTCAGATTCGGATGCTCTCTCTCCTGCTTTCCACAGGGCCCGCCACCCTCTTTTGCTTCCCCGATGCAAGGCTGTTTCAGTGGCTATTTATCACTGTACTTGTACAGTTGCTGTGCCCAGAGCAGAGTTAAGAGGAAAGCAAACTATATCTTGTATTTCTGCTTCTATCAATTTTCTTTCTTTTTCATTAATGTTACCTTCTTAGTCTCAAGGGCACACGAGCTTGTTGCTCCTAACAGGCTAGTTTTTAGTAGGAAAGTGTCAAAGAAAAAAACAGTAAAATGCTCAGTGGAATATTTGGCTTGATTTTTATGCTAAATGTGATGAATTTTTTTAAAAGCCAACATGTTTCTTACACTATGATTCTTAAAAATCAAGGCATGAACCCGCCTCCAGTGTTTTCCTGAAGCCGATGCGTCCCTGAGTACTCAGCTTGCAGGATGTAACTGCATGCAGGCTGGTGAGCATGCTCTTGCTTTGGCTTGAGGGCACCCGGCAACCTCCTCTACTTTACCTACATGGCTCTCACTCCACATGATCCACTGGCTGAACAAAACTAAACAGATGCTTTCTTGACATTCATTCTGGCACAAGTCACATTTAAGATGGGAATTATTGTTTTTTAGCTGACCCAAAGTAAAAGAGTGAGCACTGCCAGGTTATTTTGATCAGTAACCAGGGCCCTGGGGTGGCCTCTAAACTTCCTAGGACTCCATGAGGGGCCAGCCTCAACCCTTCCCCAAATGGTCACCCCTGCATCACCCCTTAAAATTTTTCTGTCTTTATCCCATTCCCTCAGGCTTATCCAAGTGATAGTAACTGACCTGATGAACTGAATTGCAAGTAATATATCAATGGGTGACAATGGTTTGATGTACATTCCTTGCCTAGAGAGGTCCATGTATTATCCTGAGGGATGACTGTTGTGGGCATGTTAGCCACTACTCCAGGCCATCAGTGGGGATGTTAGAGACAGCAAGGACATTTGTGTCCAGGCCCCCACACTTGGGCCTCCATGTCCTCTCCACTGCTGTGAATGTCAATCATAAATGCAAGCTGACAGCAGGATCTAGTTACCACTGCATGTGAAATGCCAGTCTTTCTAGGCAAATTCAGAGGAACCCTTGTCTGTGTGTGATGAAATACGTTTGCCTTAAAGGAATGTGCATAGGAGGAGTAAGGCTAGACTTGAGGCTGCTGAGTGGGCAACCACCCTGTGTCTACCCTGCACCTGCTAGGCTGGGTCAGAGAATCAAAGCCAGATGCTGGAAACAGGTGTGAGTAGGAATGCTGAGGTCATGTTTAGAATGTTTATCCAGAAAGACTAAACCCAAGCATTGGCCTGCTCCCCTACTTGGCATTTCTGAACCTGGGGCCCTTGGATAGCTTAAGCAGTATGGATTCCAGACTGGAAAAGAGAGTGCAGCCAAGAGTCTGGGTGAGTCATTATGCCTGAGAAGTAACTGAGGCAGGTCTGTGACTCACAGGCAAGGGTCCAAGCCCTGGAAACTGTCAGGCAGGTCTGCCATTGTGGGCATTTCTTCACAGGAATGCAGACATTCCTGCTTAGTGACAGAGCAACCAAGATGTGTTAGGAATGAAGCAAGCACAGAACTGTTAAAATATAGCATGGTCTCCATGAAAGCTAGCAGAAGAAGAAAATAGG